TTGAAAGCTAAGTGTGCAAGGAGAAACTTTCAAGTTAATTGAATTTGCTTTGTTATTAATTAATTAATTTATTTATATTTCTATTATTTTCAGCAAACATATGAATGAGATCTTGCGATTGATAAGATTATAGAGGATTTATGGAGCATGACAGCAAAGATCAAGTTCAAGCATGCACTTAGTGAGTTGAAAGCTAAGTGTGCAAGGAGAAACTTTCAAGGTAAACCTCTAGATATGAATCCAGAGTTATGGGCGAGGCTTGTTTATTTATGGATTGAGGTAATGGAGTAAATTCATGTGTTTATTATTATTATTTTTTTAAGGCCAGTACAGCAGCACTAGGCCCAGCCCGGCTTCTTTACTTTATTCTTTTTGCTTTTGGTCAATACAGGCACGGTCTCCCTTTTTTTATTTTTTCTTTAGTTTTTGGGGTCACAGGGAAAGGTGACGCGGAAAATGACAGGGCGCGATCATGTGACCAGGGTGTGGTTACTCACGCACAAGGCCACAAGAAATTTATTTATTTATATTTTTGATAAAAGATAACTAATAATTAGTTTATACTCATTAAAAAAATTATTTTGTTATTATTGAAATTGACGCCATTATTGTTGTTTTCGTTTGAAATAAAAATGAAATTAACTTCGTTAATTAGTTGAACAAATTTCAATTTTATCAATTAAATATTTTCATTTATTTTCTAAGCAACCAAATAAGCAGACAATAATTTTCATGCAAATGAAATATTTTTCCGATTTCAACTTAAAACTGTTCGTCTTCTTCAACACAACACCCATCTAAACCAAATGAAGTTGAAAACGACGTGGCTTAATCTTCCCTACATGTGAAGCCCATCAAGCCAACATGTGGGATCTGACTGGAAAAAGAGAAATAAAGTCATCAATGGGAGAGTAGAGTAGGGGAAGAGAATCACTGGTGATAGGGGAGAACTAGGGTGAGAGAAATCACTAATGAAAGAAAAATCACAGTTACCTTTCTGTGCAGCAGGAGAATCAAGAATAGAGAAGGATGCTACTAGTGAGGGAGGAGAATCGAGGAGAAAGGAGAGGGGTGGACACCACCACAACCGATGAGGGAGGAGAACCGTGAGAGAGAGAGGTGGAGGAGAAAAATGGTAGGTTCACGAAATTTAATCCAATCTAACCTTATCCCATGGGATTCTTGGGATTAAATTTATATGGTAGGTATGGGATTGGATCAAACACTGGACATTGTTTATCCCATCCAAAGCACCCCTCCAAACTTGAGATTATGTTGGATTGGAAGAAAATTCCAATCTAGCCCTTCATAGTGTTTGCTATTAACAGTTAATAATTGAAAAAATAGTTGATATTTATTATTTAACATGAGGATGGGTATGGTTCAGTTTTGGTTGTTATCCAAATTGACTTATTGGTTAACCAAAGTTTCAAGTCTAAATTTTAATAACTATTAATGAAACTAAAAAACACAGGTTTTATTAGTTTCAGTTATATTTTTTAAAGTAACCATTTAGATCGGCTTCAATTTTAACCAAAAATTATTTTTATATATTTTAGTATTTTTTGAAAATTTTAAGTTATTTTTAATTAATTTCAATCACTCAAAAATTAAAAATTATCTAAATAAAAAAATAAATTGATAAGAAAATGGCTAGAAAACCTTAAAAAATTTTAGAAATCATTAAAAAATTTATATAAAAGGTTTTTGGTCTAGATATTTTAGTTATACTCACCTTAATCATTGGTGTTTTGGTTTTTAAACTTAGTAACCAAAACTCACATTTAAATTTAGTTCAGTTTCGTTTTTAATCAAATAAACTCAAGACCTAGTCAAACCCTACTTGTCACTTATAATTTCATCAGTTTTCAAAAAAAAAAAAAAATTATTGTGGATTTTTTTGCCCACTCCTAATTTAACATATTAAAATTAGTTTATGAAAATGTTATAGTTATAATATCATGTGACATTGTAAGCATATAGTATGATATGTCATTATATAATTAACTCTTTCCATTTAAGCGTCCACCTATGATATTATATGCATTTACTTGTTTAATATCACGTAAAATTGTATCTTTATAATCCTATATAACATTATAACTATAGCAATGTCACGCCCCAGAACCCAAATCCGGGGACGTGACAGACGTCGTACACTCGTGAGACAGGTCCCACAAGTGCACAAGGCTCGGAACTTATCATATCACATCTAATACCATCAAAATCTGAAGATCAAATCTTTAAAATTTATACCGATAACATAAAATCTCCAAATACAAGATCATGATTTATATCTAAAAATCTATATCAATCTCGAAATGGCTAGCTTTTTAACTCGTCACTTCCCGTTGTTTCCTCGTCCTCGGTTTCATTTCCTGAAATGGTGGACAAGGAAAACTATGAGATAAACTCAGTAAGTAAATATGGAATGCCCCTTATTTAAACTTATAGCATGCCACATGTGCAATCACGCAAAACGGATACAGTACGGGAACGAAATAGACGTCTCCTCTATAGGTCACGG